GGAGACCAGTGTTTCTCCAACTGGAGGTTCCGACCCAAAAGGGCATGGTGGGGAGGGGGGTTGCAAGGCTATTGTAGAGGGGTCGCAGTATTGCCACCTTTACATCTACACTGCCTTCAGAGCTGGGTGGCTGGAGAGCAGTGACTGCTGACAAGGCACCCAACTCTGAAGACATTGCCCCACAAGCAGCAGCACAGAAGTAAGGGGACAATACTGTACCAAGCCATCCTTCTGTGCTGCTGCTGGCAGCAGCACTGCCTTCAGAGATGGGTGCCCGGCCAGCAGCCACGGCTCTCCGGCTGCCCAGCTCTGAAGGCAGCACTGCCATCAGCAGCAGAAGGGTGCAACCCACTCCTACAATAGCCTTGCAACCCCCCCCCACAACCTCCTTTTGGGGTCAGGACCCCCATGGTTACAACACCATGAAATTTCAGGTGTAAATATCTGAAACTGTGAAATTTGATTTTTAAAATCCTATGACCGTGAATTTGGCAGGGCCTCCTACGTGTAAGGTAATGAGCAACTAGGAACCTTTCACCAAGACCAGCTCCACAGAACCGGGCAGGGTCATCAAGGAAAAAGTTGGTGACTCCCAGGGGGGCTGAAATATGAAAGCCGAGAGTCGGACTGAGGGACGATTTCTTACTCTGACAGTTACAGTGCTGAAGGCAAGAGTTCAGCCCCAGCACCCCAGAGCCCTGTGATCTAACCACTAGACCCTCAGTCCCCTCCCAGAGCTGTATATAGAACCCAAGTGTCCTCACTCCCAGCCCCTCAGTTCCCTCACCCACCTGCCCTCCCCAGGAAGCTCTGGTGCAGAGATGGTTCTGGCTGGGGTTGTTTAATACACCAGGGAACCAGCTTCTGCGCGCACCTCAGAGCAGGTTACTCCCATTCACGCCGGGCTGGCCTCTGTCCCCGACTCTGCCCCAGGGTCTCCCAGCATCTTTCCCCAGGTGTGTCTTCTGCACCATCCAGGACTGCCATGGAAACGTGATCACATCTTGTAGCCACACGCTGATTGGTTGGCTGAGCATTCTTATGTGATGTCAGCGGCCATGTGGTGATCCACTGCGTTCATTGCTCATTTGCATCCAGGGGCTCAGTGACGGCTGTGGAAAAATGTTCCATGCAGGATGGGGCTAAGCAGTTGCTCTGGGCTGGGGTGCCCATCCCCACTGGCTCTGCATGTCTGGGACTGTTCCTCAGAGCTGACCAGGAATGAGGCACTTTATTAGAGACTTTCCAAAGGGAAAATAAGAGTCCACAAGAGAAGATCCTGACTGCAATCCCCTCTAGGGGCCTGATGCTCTCCACCAGTCTGACCCTCAGTGCCCACTGGCAAAGGGCCCACTCTCCAGTAGTTCACCCTAGGCCTGACAGTCACTATCCCCAATACACTGTTGTCCTAATATGTATCTAAAAAGTGTCATGGAAAGTATCATCCATAAACAGGTGACAGGCTGGTCCTGAAAATCAGGATGTGATGCATGCACAGTGTGGATATAAAGAATGACATATGAGTGCTGGCAATATGTTCTTACACTGTGGTTGGGAGGCAATGCCTAAATCACTTAGAGGACAGAGGGATGGCACTTCCGAGCCTGTGAACGGCAGATCCTTTTCCTCTTAGCCTGAAAGGCAGAAGCTAAGTGAGAAAACTGCTTAGGCAGAGATGAAAACTTGCTAAAATTAAGTTTTAAGCAGTAGACATCGAGCTTGGTTTGTAACCAGCTGTCTCTTTCCCTCAAATCTCCGTTCTTTGTTAAACTTCTGAGTTTTCCTATAACCATTTCTGAGCTGCTCTATTGAAGCATAAAGTGAGCCCTCAGCTGGCCTACCAGGCTCATGCCCCGTCTCTTTGGAGGCAGTGAACTTAGTTTCTGGGAGCATCCCGGGAGAGGGACCGGATGCAGAGACGTCTCTGGGGAACTGCAAGTCACTGAATGTCACCTGCAAGGCAAGGAAAAGGCTGGCAGAGTGTCGAGGCGTTTGCTGGTGAGCCGGCCAGCCTGGCGGAGCAGGGAGCTGACACACAGTCTAATCTCCAGCAAAGCTCACTCTTGCTAAGGCAGAAGGGTAATACCATGGCTTGCGGTTCTGAGTGGCCTGACCAGAACGGCACAACAGGGATGTGGGCCTTACCCTCTCAGCTCCTGCACAGGGATCCCCCAACCCCCCAGCTTCACTGCAGCCTCATCTGGATCGAAGTGGAGCCGACTTGCTCTGATTCAAGCGCCTACGGCAGTGGGAAGGCAACACAGCCCCAAGTCAAGCCAAGGTCTCCAGCACAGAGCTGTGTGTGAGGGTAGTGCCTAAGGGCCAGCAGAGAACAGGGCCCCATTGTGCACCCCAAACCCCTCATCCCCCCACACCCCAACCCTCTGCTCTAGCCCCAAGCCTCCTCCCACACCCCAAACTCCTCATCCCCGGCCCCACCCCAAAGCCCTCACCCCCAGACAGAGCCCACATCCCTTCCTGTGCTCCAAAGCCCTCACCCCACCCATAGCCCTTACCCCCCCCCCACTCTAATCCTCTGCCTCAGCCCTGAGCAGGGCCACCCAGAGGATTCAGGGGGCCTGGGGCAAAGCGGGGGAACTTGTACTCACCAGGCGGCGCTCCGAGTCTGCGGTGGTGGCGGCATTTCGGCGGCGGGGGGCCCTTCAGTCGCTCCGTGTCTTCGGCAGCACTGAAGGGCCCCCCACCGCCGAAATGCCACTGAAGACCCGGACCGCCGCCGGGTGAGGAAAGGGATTCTCGGCCAGGGCTTGCGGGGCCAGGGGCAAATTGCCTCACTTGCCCCCCCCCTCCACGGCCCTGGCCCTGAGCCCCCCCCCACACTCCAAACCCCTCGGCCCCACTCCCGCCACACATCCCCTCCATATTGGTGCACATACATTCATTCCGTACATGGATGTAAAAAATTTGAGGGAACATGCTGGAGCTCACCGGCTACTAAGGCCATGTCTACACTTACAAGCTCACAGCGGCACAGCTGTACCAATACAGCTGTGCTTCTGTAAGATCACTCATGTAGCCCATTATGCTGACAGGAGAGAGCTCTCCTGTGGACATCATAAAACCAGCCCAACGAGCGGCGGTAGCTCTGTCAGCAGGAGAGCGCGACAGAGCGCTGGGCACACGAGTGCTTATGCCAGCCAAACTTCTGGCACTCGGGGGGGAGGGGGGTGTTTTTTCACATAAGTGCTAGTGTAGACATGGCCTGGAGTCTGCCAGAACAGTCCCAGCCAGAGACCTCAAATTCTCCCCAGCCAGGCTTCCATTGGCACCTGTGTGAACAGAGGGGTGGGGAGAGTGCTGCTAACCACAGTTCAGCAAATAATAGATGTTTTTATTTGGGGGCTGAACCAAATATTCTGGAGAAGAATCAGGTTGGAGTCAAACCAAATCCAATTCTTTAAAAAAAAAGTTGTCCAAGTGAAAAATTCTTGCTCTGGATTAACAAACATTTTGGTTGGCTCAAGTGAAATTTGAGTTTTCCTTTTCAACTCAGCCATGTTCTGGTGTTTTTTACATTTGTTTTCTAATTCAGCCATACACTCTTTCTAAATAAAAAACAAACATTGATATAGAAAAAAAAAAAACAAAAAAACCCCCAAAAAACCTTTTCCAGCCAAAACTATTTGTTGAATTCAACCTGAATCCGTCAAGAGTAACGGTGCCCCCCCGCCCCTCAAAATTTGCTCCCAGTTCGGATGCCAACACAGCTGTTAGATCAGTGATACTCAGACTGAGGTTCATGAGTGGCTCTTTAATGTGTTTCCTGCGGCTCTTTGCAGCACATGAAATAAAACGCCGTGTGATGAATTAACAACCAATCGGGATGCTTTTACTATGTTAACCACCATTTGTAGTTGATAAAAATAATAATACTTGGTCAGTCATTTTGCTGGGAGAATAATATATGAAAACTAAATATTTCCCCTGTCATACTGTTTAAATATGAAGAGTACTATTGTTGATTGCTAATTTGGCTCCTGAACCACTGAGGTCTGAGTATCACCACTGTATTAGATGCATAGAACTACTGTGCAGTCCCTCCAGTTCCACCACTGACCAGCAGGGGGCAGGAGAGCTGCAGTCCACTCCACATCCTAGCAAGCCAGCCCCACCTTCCTCCTTCCAAATGTTGGGGGAGACTGAACTCAAACCAAAGGGTTTATTTCCAGTTACAAATAGATAAAATTACAAAAGTATTTTAAAGCGATTTAAAAAGTGACTATTACATGTCTCAGGCTTTCAAGTTAAGGTCTGGTAAGGTTTCTCTTGCTGAACTGTAATAAAAAGCAACCGCACAGTTAAATCTGTCCAGCTGTTGGAGAGGAGTCTGGCCTCCTGGAGAGCTCTTGCCATGGTGGTTACGCACTGTGACCCAACAAAGTGAAGGATTTGATTCCAGCCTCCATTATTCCTGGTAACCGATCAAGTCTGCTTTGGAGCCCTGGGAGAGAACAATACAGATTCCACGGACAAGTCACCATCTACCGCAGCCTGGCAGCGGCCCCTTTCCTGCCCCCTCCAGACGGCAGCTCTGTGGCTGCAACAGGCTCGTTCCCATCACATATTTCTCAATGGCGGTTTCGAAACTCCTGCCATTCAGACTGAGGTTGGGGTGACCAGATACTGGAAAAATTGGGACACTTTTTTCCCGGTGGGAGGGAAGGGGGAGATTGACGGATGGCGGGGGATGTAGTTGCGTATACAAGACAAAGCCCCTAATACCGGGACAATCCCGATATTGTCAGGACATCTGTTACCCTGACGTAGCATCTGTAGGTGTCTGCCTAGCTCAGTGCTCAGGAGGCACCTACAACAGGCATTTAAAGGCTGAGTGCTAAGGGATCTAACCACTCACCTTCTTCCCATTCAGTCCTACAGGTCTGAGTCTTATTTGCACTAAGGCCCCTTCACACCACAGGGTTTTAAATGTAAGTGGGAATAACAAGGCACCTACACACCTTTAGCCATCTCACCCAGTCGAACAGCTGTTTGCCCGGTAGAGCATCTTCCATGCAAAGTGCTACCCAAGAACTAACAATGTGAAACCTGATTGCCTCTTCATTCCCAAGCACGAGCAGCCACTTGGCCACACCAGCCAGAGTTGGGTGCACCGGCGTCGCTGTGGGGAGTGCAGGGTGAAGCAGCACAAGGCGACTCAACGCCAAGCCTTTACGAGCGCCTGCCTTGAGGAAGGGCCCAGAACTTCTCCCTCGAGAAAGCCAAATCCACCCCACAACTCTGAACAGCAAGAGCCTGCAGAGCATCGCTAGGCCTCACCGCGGCCCCCTGCACCTTTCGGATATGGCCCACGGCAGGGTGTGAACTCCATCTCCACGCCGTGCCAGCCAACCTGGTTTCAATCAAGGTTTGGCCCAAAAACGCCAGACAGAACCAAGCTGTTCTGGAAGGCTCTCCTGGCCCTGTCAAACTGGGCTGAAACAGAGCTCAAGCAGGGCCGTAAATCAGTGGGAAGAAGTTCTTGATTTCTCCTGGACTGGATTTTCTCTCTGCTGCCTCACAACCAAATCACAGACCAAGGGAGAGGTGAGCAAGTCCCCTTAGATCTCATTGCTCTGCCCCTAATCCCTTCTCACCGATCACCTCCTGCTCCAGGGAGATGTAGTATTCAACCTGTTCCGACACCACAAAGATGACATCCTGACACACTCGTACAGCAGTGACGGTGGGGGCAGGGATGGGGACACCACGCAACAATCTTCTACAGTCACAAAAATATACTTGTGTTCCCTACATTCAGTGCTCTAGCATAACCAGGGCTCCCCAGCCTGCCACTTCTGGCAGCATCAAACCCTCCGATAGGCTTACGTGGCACTACAGTGCTGCAAGGCCTCACGCTGGCCTGTCGCACGGGCTGAATTTCACCCTCCTTGGGGAAGCCCGGTGCTAGCGGACATCCCCAAAGCAGGGTGAGCAATCTGCAACGCCAGCAAGTGGCAGGGGGGCCCCTCCGCTGGGTGTGTTCAGCAGCTGGGTTTGTCGCCTGTCGCTCTTAGGAAAATAAGATTGGTTTATGCAAAGTCACCTGTAGCGCAGCGGGCAAGACTCCAGCCCCACGACTCTAGGGGACAAGGAGAGTCTAGAACAGGACTAAAAAGGCATTAGGTGAAACTTAAAAAAAAAAAATAGTTAAAATCGCAGTGAGTTACAGTAATTCACACGGAACATTTACAGCAGTTCATGGGGCAAGGGGCAGGACGTCGGCAGGAGAGGGGGAGCCAATCCAGGGCCAATGTCACACCAGGAAGGACGAGGTCTGTTTGAATTCTCCCTGGGGGAGTGAAAGAAAGACACAATGAATTCCCATGGACACGAATTACAGCAAATCCTTCAAAACAAACCTGCTCCCTTTGCCCCCGTCCCCGAGCCCCTCGGAGAGAAAAGCTCATGGTGCTGCGCGGCCAAGGAGAAACGGCGAGTTCCAGCCATGAGGGCTGGGAATCGGGAGACCTGGGTCCCAGTCCTTGCTCTGCCTCCCACCTTGAGCAAGTCACCTCTGCTTGTTTCCCCTCCCATCCTGTTTGTCTAGCCTGTCTACCTAGACTGAGCTCTTGGGGGCAAATCTAACGCCAAGTGACTCAGCAGGAGAGCACTGGGTTTTCTGGGTAGAAGCACAGACTAGGTTGCAGGTGACGTTATGTTTATGGGCTCAACCTCTCTCATCGCAAAGCCACCATGTGTCAGGGAAGAGCTGGCTGTTCACTTAGGAGAAACTTGGCCTGGCAACACCCTCGGTTATTCCAGCCCTGTGTGAGAATCAACTTCGTAACTCCTCCCCCAGCGTGTCCCTAGCACGCAGGGTTTGGGTCTTGTCAAGTACACGTCCCTCTGTGCCTTGTGTGGAGCCTATGGGAGATCTACCTGTGTTCTGGGGAAGCGGCCCGAGTGGCTTCACCACTTTACAGAGCAGAACGCACCAGTTGCACGTATGTAATACCTGAGCCAAGGATCCCAAGCTGTTAAACAACTGAATCACCACCACGACATATTATACCCATTTAACAAATTCATAAGTGGAGGCACAGTAGGTGTAAGGGACCAAGTTGGGAACAGAACCCTTGAACTCCCAGATCCTGACTCTGGCTTTTACCACTAGCAATAACTCCTGTTTTCCCTACCCCAGACCAGCAAATGGTGCTGGACTCTCAGCAAAGACAGAATTTTCCTGACATTTTTGTGCAAAAAGTCCTGGCTAAGCGGCACTGAAGTCCCATTTTCAAGAGTGGTGGAGGTGCATGGGGCCAGGTTTTTAATGGCGTTTAGGTGCCTGAACATGCGGATAGGCAACCGAGGGAGATTTCCAAAAGCACCCAGGCACACATCTGCATCTTTAGGCACCTACATCCTTTAGAAATCTGGCCTGTAGGCTCTTAAGTACCTACGTCACTTTTGAAAATAGAACTTTGGTGCTTTTGAAAGTGTTACCCTCCGTCTGAGGACAGAAAAGACTCCGCGTGCAGACACCACTTCCCGCGTCCCAGTCTCCATCTGACTCTCAGAATGGCCTCTGGCTGATTGTTTAATTACATTCCAGACACTAAAAATTAGTCTTTTATTTCTCACTGCACTGATTAGTCATTCAATTTACATTCTTGCACTGGAGTTTCACTTTGAGGGCCTTTGCCTATTTACCACATGAATAAGGTTAGTCGGGATCGTAGCATAGCATTACTGAAAGGTCCTTGATTTAATGGCTTGCATGGCCAAGCAATGCGCTGGAGCTCCCTTTCCCCACATTGCGTCTGTGGGAATGGTTTTCGTTTTAAAAATCGGGGGTTGTAGCTCTGTCATTCCATGCAACATTGGTAAGCTGCACCACAGCTGCCAGACTGACCGGTTCTCTAACTAGGGGGAAGAAAACGAACAGCAGCCCTTCACCATTCCTCCTCAGCTAGCGGCATCAAGGAGGCCCCGGCACGATGCTTTCGCTGAGCCAGAAGTTATGGACTGGACGCAGGGTTCACCGGGTGAATTCCGTGGCCTGCGTTATGCAGATGGTCAGAATGGTCTCTTCCGGCCTCAATCTCTGACTCTAGAATCACCTAACACAGCCGGGAACGATGCCCCGTTGGAGACCTTCGTGCACATTTGGCTCGGTATCTAAGGGTGACTCAAGGTTGCGAAAGGAGTGAAAGTTACATAGCCAGCACAGCAGGTTTTCACTGGGTGGGGCACTAAAATGAGATGCGTTTACACATCTCTTGCCAACGCTCATCATGACTGACTAGCACCTCAAAATGTAAACGCCGGGTGGGGATGGTGGCGCTGCAGTGTTAGACTGAGCAGGGCGACTCGTGGCAAGAGAGAAATCTTCCCCGCTGGAGATAATGTGTCAGGACAGTCTCTGTATCGAGGGGCCAGCCGCACCGGCAGTGCTGGGGAGGCACTTGGAACTCCTTGCTGAGTGGCAGGTTCTACGCTTCTGAACTCTCAAAACAAGATAAATTTCTCTAGTTTAGAGATGCCCCATTTTTAGCTCAAGCCTTAGAGGAAAGGCATTGGTGAGAATCAAATGAACACCGAACAGAAGGTCTTAAAGGCCTGACAGTGATTGATGGGCTCTGATACACAGGATCCTCCAGCAAATCTGGCTAATTCTGAAGAGTGGAACACCAACTCCCACCACACCCAGAAGGATTACTGTCTGGGACGCTGGGGAATCTACCTACCTAACTTATACGGTGGTTACAGTAATTATCTACGTAACTGATCTGGCGCAAGTCATCCCAGTATCTGAGCACCTCACAGCCCCCAGGGGCAGGGCAGGGCAGGGCTATTATCCCCATTACACAGGGAATTGGGTACCTGAGGCACAGATCCACAGAAGTATTTAGGCTCCATTTCAGTGGAAGTTATGAGCCTCAATACCTTGATGGGTCTAGGCCGGAGAGACTAAGGCCAAGTCTACACCAAAACGTTAAGTCGACCCAGCTATGTTGCTCGGAGGTGTGAAAAATCCGCACCCGGAGCCATGTAGTTAAGCTGACCTAACCCCCGGTGTAGACAGCGCTAGATCGATGGAAGAACAGCAGCTAGCTGTTTAAGTGGAGACACAGCCTCAGAGACGTTCCCGCGGTCGTACATCGGAGTGTGAGAGAGCGAGGAATTGAATCCAGGTCCGCCAAGTGCCTGGTTAGTGCTCGAACCACTGGGCCATCCTTCCTCTCAAGGTCAGAAAGTCTCGGTGCAAGTCATTAGCCAGGAACTGACACTGGGCTGGCAACACATGGACAAGCTTCGAACCGTCAGCTATGTCCAGCAAATGAACTGAGCTTGTCAGGTGAAGTGTGTATCCACCAGTTTGTCCTTCCCTCCATGGACGTGGCTGGCTTTGGGTGAGGTGCGTCTTGGACGCTCCATAAAACCCACAAGACGTGGGCAGATCACTGCTGTAAGCAGGCTCTGTGGCTGGGTTACACCCTGCCTCTCTCAGGGGTTGCCAAAACACCAGTCCCAACCTGCAGGTGATTTGATCGCAGCCCTGACACTCAAGAAGCCAGGAACAAAGTTATTTCTTTGGGGACAAAAGACTTTCCGGGCTGCCAGAGCAAAGCTGCCTGGCTGGCAGTTCTACTTACGTCACTCCGGTTGGACGGCTGGCTGTAGATAACTTGCTTATTGGTGCTGCTAAAATGAGAAAGAATTAAACTAAGACACTTCACAAGGGCTGATCGCTCCTCGGACCACACCCCAAGCACCAGCTGTGCCACTGTACCCCACCAGTGTCGGCCAGACAGCCAGCAATGTTGGGGAAGCAAGTTAGCAGACAGCTGAGGTTAACCACCAGGCTACATCAAACTTTACACCAAAAGATAGATGGGAGGTGCCTGATTTGCCCCTTCTCTCCCAACCCCCACCAGGCAAGGCACAGCCTCCCCCAGCTCTGGTAGGAGAGATGCTTTACAGACTGGCCTCTTCCTTCCATCCCTATTTCCCCATCCAATACCCAGCACACCGCAAGGACGGGATTGGGAGGAGGGCAGCTAAGAGGCCTAGTCCTGATACCCAGCCTGCTTTGGGTGCCAAGTAGATTTTGGGATCTCTTCAGTCCCCATGTTAGAACCAGCTTGTAACTTGGTATAATCAGGCCAGGAGCAGAACTGGCACAGAAGTGAGGGCTGAGGAGGGTCAGGACAGAGGGGTATTGGCAGAGCTGGAAGAGGAGTCCAGGGCCAAATAAGTGGGGGGCTGTGGATCAGGTACACGAGCAGAGCTGTGGAGGGGGGAATTTGCAAGCTCATGCAGGTGCTATTCGCTCCTGTGATGTTGACTTCTTTTGGGTAAGGGGAAGGAGACTATGCCTGGCCTGGCCTAGAGGCAGCATACTGTCCTGCTCTACTCTTCTGCAGCCTTTTGCTCACCAGGCCAGCGAGAGGTGGGGACACAAGACAACACTGCCATCTGGGGAACAAGGGAAGACAGTGCTCCACCCAGATGCCACCTGCTGACCCTTTCGGGTGGGGAAAACTGCATTGATGGAGGCTTAGTCCTTGTCTTCAGCTGGAAGATGCTGCTGGAATAGAGCTAGGACAGTGCGGTCCTTAGAGGGTAGGAGTGACCCATGATGGGGACAGCAGAAACATGTGCCCTAGCCCAAGAGGAAAGGTCAAAGTCTCCCCACTGTTCCTGACCCAGAGATCCCACCTGGCGGGGGGGGCGGGAGGGAAGCAATGTGTCACACAGCAGCTACACTGGGGCACAGTGGGGTGAGGGAGGAGCTTGACGTACGTGCTGGCACCTTGCACTCTACCCGCTGCAAGGAAGAGATTCCAGGCTGTATTTAAACTGCCATGGAGGAGGTGGCGGAGTCTGGCTAGTCCTGGTGCCCCCCAGGGGAATACTCTACCCACTCCACAGCGCTAGAAGGATCTCCGCAGGCCAGGAGCACAAGAGGGATGGAAGAGGCTTGGAGGACGGACAGAAAACAAGTACAAGGTTCCACTTACCCTGTTCTCTCTGGAAGGGAAAAAGAAAAAACAGGATGGTTAAACGTTGGAGATGGGACGTGTCGCTCGGCTGCCAAGGGATGGCTCCCTGGCACTGCTACAGTAGGCAGCAACACAGGCTTCCGCGGGGCCACACTGCTTTCAGAGTGCACTCAATTGGCTGGGCCAAGCGCAGACAGGTCACACGCGCACGGGGATGCGAGATAGATTCACAGAAGGGGGGAGCACAGGCCTAACCACGACGCAGCCAAGCAAGCTCTGCACCACAGCCTGGGGGCCCCCCATTTAATCCAGAGAGGCAACCGGCAGGAACTGCAGTTCCCAGCATGCAATGCTCCATCTTGAGTCAAAGGTGGCTTGATGGAGAGCTGCCCAATAGGGTCAAGAACTCCGCAGGCAGCACCTCATCATTGAAAGGGGCAAGGCAGCCAAAGTTTGCTGCATCGCAGGTAGCCTGCAAGCTTCTGGCAAGCAGGAGACTGAGCCCACTGCGTAGATGCTGCCAGCGAAATATTGATTGGGAGCAATGGCTCCTCCCAATAGCTTCTTCAGCAGCAGCCAGAGCTCATTAGCCTGCAGCACGCTGCCTGGCACCCTGCCCAGCGGTGTGTGCCTTAGCTTCTGCAGGGGAATTGACAGGGGCTCCGATGAACTGCCTAGGGTCACGGGAGTGGCTGAGCGCAAGTGGAAGGGGGCGGGGAGAGGTATGTTCGCAGCCCAAGTGGGTAGCTTAATACTTACTGCTGAAAAAGCCACGACTGTAGGCGAACCAGATGCCGAAGGCAACCAGTGCCAGCACGATTAGCAGCACGACCACAGCTGCCACAATACCGCCCACGTTGACTTCAGCTGGGTGAGAGAATGACATCAGCGCGGCATGCGGAGATGTTACGCGGACAGATCCCCCTGCATGCCACAGGATCCCAAACGCTTTCACATCTGCAACTGCCCCCGTGGGAGAGTGACACCAGCAAAGGATTTAACCTGACTAGTTGCAGTCACCGGGGGAGACTGGACCCCACCTTCCTTCAAGGGCCAATCACCCTGTCTCAGTTGCCTTTAATGGATTTAAGCAGCTAGGGGCGAGGAGCCTGCACCAGGGTACCCAGCCGGAGGGGGGGAGGGAGGGGAGACACACGGACACGGGTTCTGTAATTATAACCCTGCTGCTGTCCCATTCACGGCTCCCTTCACGCTAAGACAGCTCCCAGCCTGCTCCACCCACCTCCATTTCTTCCTGCCTCGCAGTCACCAGCCCCTCGCCACACAGCTGGGATCAGTGCTTGGCGCTAGCTGCTTCCACCTATCGGGCAGCGGCTGAGAACGGCAACATTCCACGGCCAGCCTAGCCTGGGACGAGCCTGCGAGCCATGCCAAGGGCTGCCAGGCCTCACTCCTCCCCGTTCTGCTGCTTTGCTATTTGGTTCCGGTGAGCTCAGCCCTGCCCTGATACAAAGTCGACAGGCATTCAGAGGGGAACTGGCTGTGGCTTGGGAAGGGAGCACTGGCATGGACCTGGCACCCGAAGATCTGCAGTCTGAGCTCCACTGTATGGGTCTAATGTTGCGAAGGGCTAAAACCAGACCAAGGGTGGAAAACAGGATGGCTTGGGCAGCTCTAGGGAATGGGGGCTAACGGCACGGTAGCTTTTCAGAGGAGGGGATGGTTGGAATGCTTGTCACCGGAGCTGGGCCCAGCAAACACACCTATCCCCAACCTCTGGCACTCCCAATCCCAGAGTGCACTAGGCTAGGGCGGGAGCCTCCTCTGGGACTGTCTGTACTGAGGCCCAGCTCCGGAGGTCACGTAGGAGGCAGGATACGCCAAGAACCACTTGTCGGCTCTCAGGAGACTCCGTTCTCTGCGAAGGTTGCTCTTTTAGCAGGGCAGCCCAATGGGCTTCTGGTTCCAGGCTCTCCCTGCCCCTTGCAGCAAAGCACATGCCTGTTTTCCCATCAAGACGCTTGGGCACTGTCCAACCTTTAATCTACCTCAGCCAGTACAGGGAGTAGCTGCAGGAGGCCGGGGAAGGGGCAGTAACACCACCGGCTATTGTAAGCTTGCAAGTGACTTCCAAAGAGCCCAGTGCGGACGTGTGCACACAACCACCCACACACAGGGTCTGCAAGCCCCCATTTCCTTACTAGCTTCCAAGTGGATGGCTTCCGATTTCTGAGCGGTCCCGACGTTGTTCTGAGCCTCGCAAAAATAATCCCCCGTGTCGAAGCTGGTTACGGGCTCAATCGTCTGGAGTGGGAAAGAAGGCGTGAGAGAGGCATGGACAGAGGTGTGAACTCCCCACGAGTCAGGCAGCCCCCTCCCCAGCGCGTACCAGCACTCCTGTCTTGGGGTCGATCGTGTAGGAGGAGTTCCTGAATTTCTCACTGATCTTGGGGTTGGAGGGCATCAGGATGTTGTCCCTGTACCACTGGAAGGTAGGGGGTGGAGAGCCATCTGTTTCCGTGCACGTCAGCACAGCTTTGTTGCCGATTGTCACCGAGGTGGGCACCTTGGGAACGGGCTTGGAAGGAGGCACTGCCAGTGGAGAAGGCAAAGAGGCACATGTTACAGATGACCTTACAGAGCTTTGAACCCATCGCTGTGACCCCCTGCCCTAAACACCCAAGACGCGGTCATCTGCATTTGTTAAGTTGTGCTTATTAACCCATGACTGGCTGGATTAGACTAGAGGTCCTGCTCAGGGACACGAAGGCAAACAAATGGCCAGCTCATTTTAAGTGAAGTAAGTGGTAAGCAGCATCCATGTCTAGCTTGATAGTCCGTTGACTCGTGAACTAAGTCAGTGGCTGGGCCCCCTTCCATTGGCAGGGCTTTCTTGGCACTGCTCCAGGGCTGATCAGTGACGTTCCAGAGCTCAGGCCCGTGTAAAACTGTCATTCCCCGACAACGCACCTTTAATTGCGATGGGGAAGGAGTGAAAAGCGGTTCCTTCCTGACCCATGCAGAGATCCTGTGCTGCCCTGAAGCTTGATTATACTCATGTCAGCACAACTACAAATAGGAGTGGACTTTTCTTTAAAATCCAGCCACACTATTGTCTGGATCTCCTGGGACACATTCCACAGAGAGCAGCAGTTCCTTGCGTGGGTTCTGCACCAGCTGCCCTTTAATTCAAGAGAGGATTAATGGCACTCACTGGGCTGGATCTTCCATTGCCCTGCTCCCTGGGCAGTCATTTACACCACAATAAAATGGGTGTGGAATGCAACTAAATCAGAGCAGCTCTTGGTGTTCTGGTGCAAACGACTGTACGAAGAGCAGGGAGATGGAGAATCAGGTGCCCGGCGTTCAACATAAATGGCAAGTGCACGTGGGGAGAAGTGTCACTGACCAGAAATTAACACTGACTACGAGCCCTGCTGCTGGCAGTAGCCACCCTGCTGACAGGTGAAAGGTGCGATGCTGGCCGTGTGGGTGAAACCAGTGTCCCTCCCACTTTGATGGAGCAACTTGTCAAAACAAAATGTTTGACCAAAACTGCTGCGATCCTGAAGGAAGGAAAGAGAGTTTGGTCCAACACTGGGCTCCCATTCGGTGACTGATTTTGCAGCGCTGGTGAAAGGTGCTAGACTGACAGCATTTGTGAGTGAGGCTCTGGGTACGGCCACAGAACAGGCACTGTAAAAGTAGTGCAATCTTCCCCCCCCCCCCCAAATCTTTTGCCAGGGACCTCAGCCCAGCCATGAAGGGACATTTCTGGGGTGAGGACAGTCTACTTTGGTCTCTGCAGACAATACACCCAAGGTTCAGATTGGTGCTGACAGTGAGTCTTCAAGGTGTGAAGAAGTGGACTGACAGCACCTCTGTATGAAGGGGATCTCTGCTTAAATGCCATTCGCATGTAATGCAAGATAAGCATGGACTTGCCCACGTCAGCAGGGGGAACAGTTACAGTGTCAGACTTCCTGAGTGCGTGTTACAGAAATAATGGTGCCCCCGTGTAGCTAGGATTGTTTCTTCATTGCCACATAATGGGCTACACATTGACCCGTGCGAGGCAGTCCTCGAGAACCAGTTGTGTTTAACAGTTCTGAAGATGAGGAGCCAACAGAACTGGAGGCTTTTGAAACCATTGGATAATCTGGGCATTAGGCTTTCCCCAGGGCCCCCCTTCGAACCTGGCTAGCCTGACTGGATTACAGGATACTTGCCACTGCCCAAAGCAGCCTTATTCCATGGCTCTACTCCAGCAGGACTGACGCTGCTCTCAGGAAGGCCCTAAAGCTCCATTCATGCACCGCTCTGGCCCTGCAGGTCCGTGGTCAGGGGACATGGGTGAGAATTTCAGAGAACCAGGTTTAGACGATTGAGGCTTCCCTACAGTCTAAGTCCAATGTGGAAAGAGTCTTGTTTCAGTGACCTCAGGCTAGTTTGCTATCCACTGATGATGCCGTGGTGTGCGGAGAGCAACACTGTTCAAAGAAGCCATTGGGCTCTTAGTAGGGAAAAATAATACCCTCCTTGCGGCAAGAGTCAGTGGGGAGGTTCCCCGGTCCGTGCCACGCAGGTTAGATGTTCATAGTGCTCCCTTCGAATCTTAAACTCTAGGAAAACACACTCC